GCTTCTGACTGTACCCAATGCTTATATAAAAAATAAATAAATCTTAAAAAAAAAAAATTGTAAATAGTACTGCTATAAACATAGGTGTGCAGGTGGCCCCAAAGCAATTTTATATCTGAGTAGATTTCTAGATAAAAATGTATTAAAAAGCCTTAAAACTATTTACTTCATTTAGAGATACCAATAATTAGTAACTATTTTTATAAATATATCTGTTCACTCAGCTTTCTTAATCATTCCTTACTAGCAAATGACTTAGGAGATGAAAAAGCACAGGAAAAAATCCTTGGTTCATAAAGAATTTAAAGATTAAACTCCTTAAGGAATGTAAATCCCACAATTAGACTATCTTTGCACCTGTATCATTTTTCTTCATCTCAGTTACCACAAGAAATAGTGTAGCTTTATACAGATTAGAAATAACTTTTTAAAACTCAATAAAACCTGTAAGTATCTTCAACAAATTGCTCTTCAAGGTGACACTGATCCTTTTCAGACTAAACTAATGGCTCCCCACGCCCAACTACTTTTCCATTAAGTGGTGCACGAAAAGGTAAAATTCTATTTGGTAGTATTTCCTGAGTTAGTTGATATTAAGGTAGGCTTACTTCTCTGTAAAACAGACAAGGCTGGAAAACAAGGTAAAACTCCAAGAGTTACTAAACTCAGGATCTAATTTGTGCTTCCAGTTAACTTTATTTAAATATTAATTAGTAGCACACAGTTTGTTAATTACATATCATATACAGTTGTATCAATGGCTAAATAGATGCATATGGTTAATGTAACCATTAGGCAGCAAAAAATGTTAAAATGTATGCAAAACTAAAACTCACTGATAACTGCAACCTGGAAAAAATGTTTAACATTAAGGAAATCACCAAAAAAAGTGAAGGAATGATTGAGAACCCCCCCCCAAAATTAACTATACTTTCCATCTTGATTTTAGTTTACATGAACTGTAAATATGTTCACTTACAAATTAAAAACAAATACATTAAGGGATGCCAACAGCATTATCAACTATTTCAAAACATCCTATCTTTCAATTCCAAAATATATCATCTGTATCTGCCAAATACTATCTCAACTTCCTATCAGTACTTTCTAGAGACTGAATTTATTGCTTGCTGAAATGCAGAACTATTTCATCTTACTTTGAAATTCAGTTCTTGCAGCATGATAGAGTGATTGTGCCCCTCATGTTCTATTAAAACCACCGAAGTCATACCTTCTAAAGCTAGCCGAAATCACTTTTGCTTACACTTAAAAATATTTTTTAAAGCCACGATTTTGTGGAGATGAGCATATGTGCAGTTATTGCAACGTGGATGTGCACTTTTAACAGGTATTACTAAAAAATGTCCTCTGAAATAGCCGAACTAATTTACACTTCCACCAGCAACTTAAAATAGTTCCTATTTCCCACACTCCTAGCATCACTTGATTTAACTTAACATCTGCCAATCTGATAAGGAAAAAAGATCTCGTTGTTGTCTTAACAAAATGCTTTCAATATACCTGTTTTTTAAAAAGAATCACCTGTTTTTTAAAAAGCACACGTGTTATTTTCCCAGCCTAGTCCTTCTGTTAAATCTTTTCCTTTTTAATTAAACAATAAAATGCCAAACAAAAAATAATTTTAAAGCATCCCCTCATCTTCATTCACCAACCCTTCCAAGGGACTGGAGTTTAAAGAAATGACAGCATGCTTGACAGAGAAGATAGTCTGATTAAAAAAAAAAACAATGTCCACACTGAGCAAGCATTGATAAAAAGATAAGTCAAAAATTTTGCATGCAACAGCTTAGTTTGTTTGTGACTTTGATATAATGCTTATTGGTTTTCTTCAAGGTGATATCTTGAAATTAAAACCATGCAGTTAATCTTGAAACTATGCAAAATTTTGAAATGTGACAAGAGAATGGAGATGGGGATACAGATATTTAAATATGAGATGGAGATTAATGGGAAGATAGAACTTGGGTGAGATATAAAATGTCACCTACACAGAGATGACCAACAAAGCTGAAAGAAGAGGCTGTTGAGAAGCCAGACAAATGGGTAAGAAGCAAAACCCTTTGCCTCAGGGTTTATCCACTGAGCAAACCCCCAAGAAGCCAGGAAAGCAGAGAGAACTTTAAAAATGAAGAGAGCCAAGCAAAGTGGTTTTCAAAATGATGGAATGACAGTAACAAAATTAAATATGAGCACTACAGGGAAACTGGGCAAATATTCCATTTTTCCATAAATACTGAAAAGATGTTAGTAGTGAAATATTAATCTAAACTAAGAATCTAGAGAATTTAAGTTGAAAGAGATGGCATAACCTAGGATGACACTAGTTCATTAAGAATGTGACTATGGAATAAAGGTAAGTAGATAACTTATTTATATCCCACTTCCTTCCAAAATGTAATATGGTAAGGTTAATAAAATGAAAGTCAGACCAAAGAAAGGAGGAACAGAAAATATGGTCACCATGTGAAGTAATAAAACTGCTGTGGTTAAATATAAAATTCACTACAAGTTTACTGGTAAGCAGAGCAAAAAGGTAAGCAGTGCAAATCACATAGTTTCATACATTAAGTACAATTTCTCAAGAGAAATTTTGTCTGGAAACTAGAAAACAAAAAAATTTTCTTATATGTAAGCCTAAAATTCAAGGTGTTAAACAAAGCAATTCCATTCTTATTAATAGACAGTTATGTAATATTTAACACATGCTAAATAATGTTCTAAGCCTTTTACAAAATGTTAAATCGTTTAATTTTCATGCGCCTTTAAAACCTGGCAGAATCCTGGGTGAGCGCTGGCAATCCAGGTTGCTTGTTGATTGAGGGATGATGACCTTATAACAGGATCAAGAAGTCTGTCTCCCAGAATGAGAAATATTTATCACAGAACAGCAAAAGGGAAGGAGTCAAAGGAGGAAAGTTACATTTGGAAACCAGATTATTCAGGAAACAGAATCTTTAACCCCGTTAAAATTCTTTTTCTTTCACAATGCTGAGGCCAGTTTTCTTCACTTAACATGTAAATTGAAGATAGGAGTTCACTCTTGTTCTTGATTGAAAGTCTAAGGATTATATAGTTGGACTGCACCTGACCCACTCTAGCTACTCAAACTTTGTGGCCCCAAAAAAAAAGAAAGAAAGAAAGAAAGAAAAACCCCTTTGAACTAAGGTACACAAAGTTATTATATTCTTTAAGTACTCCCTCCCTAAAATGGTTCTCCTTGGGAGTTTGGGAAACAGGAGACGTTTTTTATGTAGGGTTGTCAATAAATATTAGCCAAAATAGTATTTCAAAGTTATTGCGAGGAGCTGCTTTCTTATTTTGAATACAATGATGCTAAAAGTCTCTGGGAAATCCATAAATCACAAAAGCAGCTTAATTTCCCATCTGATGAAAGGGAAAGAGGGCCACTCCAGGCACACAAGAAACAGCAGGAGACATATTTTCAGTAGAAAGCAGTTCCCATCCTACAGTCATTAAGGATAAATTTTAAACAGTACAATAACTGCATCTAGCAATTCTGCAACTCTGAGCACATGTATTTAATCTCTTACTACATGCCTGGTAAGAGTATCAGATGAGATTAAGCATACAGCACAAGCATACAGCACTCTAGTCCCTAAAATATGAGAAACAGAAATTTAATAGAAGTCTGTTTTTTGGAACTTGAAGGAATTTGAGTCACCTAACCCAAGATGTTGAATGCCTCCAGTGGTCATAGTCTACCTTGTGGCACAAAACCATTATGAAAGAACACCATAAATTTCGCCCATCACCAAGTGATTTTTTTTAAAAAAAAAATAACATTTTTCAGTCTGGAAAAACAACTTTAGCTTGGAATGTTTTAGGAAGGTACCAATTTCAATTACAGGAAACATTAAACAGGCCTGAGACTGAAAGTATGAGAATCACACTTCCAGGCTGAATGAAGGTACTCTGGGGCTGGAGAGAGTAACATACTTAAAAAGGAGGATGGGGTGGGGAGTGGGGGGCAAAACTGGTCCCATAACATCAGTACAAACTCAGAAAAAAGTAGGGTTATATTCTATGTCCCCTATTTAGACAGCAAGCAGGCAAATTTTACCCACTTAATGAAAAAGCCTGTGTCCATTTACAATATATAAGACAAAATATCCGGGAACTGCTTCCCACATCGTGGAAGAAAAATCAATTTCATGTTGAGACTAAAACTGCTGCAAAACATACACAGGTGAACGTCCTATCACTATTTCAGTTTCAACTCGACTTTCCACTGAGTTAGTGCCTGACCCGTCACATTTCCTCTTGGTGATTTTATTGACTTATTTTTTAAAACTGGCCCCTCTTACGTTAGCCCCCAGGCAGGCCGAAGCGGTGCCCCTGCGCCAACAGGTGGTCCGCGCCGCGTGCCCCATCTTCTCGGCCGCGTGACCCTTTTCCTCCTCATCTCGTTTCGGAAACCTTATTTCCGGTGCCCCAGATGGCTCCACACACGCCTCGAGGAGCCTCTCCAGAAATATTCACAACACTCCGGCGCTCGCGGCTCCTCAGGAGAAGGCAGGGCGCGGACACCCGAGCCTGGAGGAGCGACGAGCCGGGGAGGCGCAGGCTCTGCTCGACGCCCAACTCCTAAATGTCACGGCGGAGATGTCCGGGCATCCCCGCGACGCGGGGCGCGCGGCCAGCGCTGCAGCCCTTGGCCGGGGCGCGGGGGGCGCGGGGCGCGCGGCGCGGGCCGGGCGGCCGCGGCCCCCAGCAGGGCGAGGACCCCCCGGGCCCCGCCGCCCCCGGCCGTTGCGCCCCGGGCGCCGCAGGGAAGCGGGGGCCGGCCGAGGGGCGCGGGCGGGGCCGGGCCTAATCACATGGCGCGGACGGCGCAGGCCGCCCGGCATCTCTTTCTTTCTCTTTCTCGAACCTCCGCTCCCATCCCGCCCCACGGCCGGCGCCCGCCGGGCCGGGCCCCACGCGGGGCGAGGCCTTCCCGGCCTCGCGCGGACACTCACTTTTCGCCCGCGGCGGCCAGCTCCTTGCCCTCGCTGTTGCCGAACGCGTCCGTCTCCCCCAGGCCGTCCTTGGGGCCGGGCGCCGGCGGGGCCGCGGGCGGCGGCGACGCCCCGGGCTGCTGCGGCGGCGGCTGCTGCGGCGGCTGCGCGCCCCCCTTGCCCAGCTCCTGCAGGATCTCCGAGGGGGAGCTGGACATGCCCAGCGCCGGGGGCCCCGCCGGCCGGCCGCCCCCGCCCCACCAGGGGTGCAGGCGCGCGGCGGCCGCCGGGCCCGCGGCCGCCGGTTCCCCGCCCCGGGGGCGCCGGCACAGGGTGGCGAAGGGCTGCGCCCGCCTCAGAGCCGCGCAGGCGGCGGCGCGCGGCCGCAGGAGCAGGTCCCGAAGCATCGCCGAGCCTCGCAGCCGCATCATGCCTCCGGCTCTGGGGCGCCCGCTCCAGGGGCGAGGATGCTCCGGGCGTGGGCGGCGGCGCTCCTCCGCGGACGCGGCTCCCGCGGGGCGGCGAGAGGGCAGCGGAGGAGAGGGGCGGCGGCGTGGGTGTGGTTCCGGCTCCCGCTCCCGCTTCCGCAGCCGCGGCTGATGCTCCCGAGCGCGCCCTCGCAGCCGCTGCGCCCCGCTCCGCCGAGGGCTCCGCACTGAGGCTGGGGCGCCGGGGAGGGCCGGAGACATTCCGCGCTTACCCTCCCGGGGGCGGGACGACGCCCGCGGCCCGCCCCCTTCGCCTGCTCCTATTGGCTCATATCCCCGACCTCTCTTCTGATTGGTGAGTGCAGCAGTCAAATTTCTCTCGGCGCCGGGTGCCCGGAGAGCGGGCGGGGGACTGGCTCGCGCTGGCGGGGGGCGGGGAGAGGGAAGAAACTGACGTGTGAGCCTGGGGAGTCAGGCCGGAGTCCAGAGTGGCCCTGTATGGAGTTCTTCCTCCGCCTCCAGGCTGCCCCGGTTGAGAATTAGGGACTGGGGGTCTTGTCGTTTAAGAAGCTGTGGACTCCGGGGACTCGAACTGTAGGGGGAAGTGATGGGCAGAGGAGGACCGGGGCATCAGCGAGGCTGGCGGCCCCTGGCGTCTGCCCTGGTCCAAGCTCGCAGCTACTGGCCCTTGGCTGTCTGGTCAGGGTGTGTGGCGATGCCTCTGAGGCCCACGATCCCGCGAAGGCAGCCCCCCCCCAGACAAGCCTGGTCCTTCTCCCAAATGTCACATTTACTTGAAACTTTCCATGGTTGGCGACTACCCAGATGTGAAGTGTTTTGGAAAAAATGAGCAAAATCCTTTCAGCTATGCGACTTAGCCATTTGGAGGATTGGAGTTCGAGGGAGGGTGAACTCGGTGAAATTCCAAAATGTCTGCTTGCCTATTGAAAAAATATGTTTTTAAATATACACCGATATCTCAAAAATATTTTTGAGCAGGCAATGAGCCCCTTGGCACTAGTTTGCTTGAAAGCAGGATTATACTTTTCTGTTTTAAAAGCTGCTTTGTCGTTTTAAAAGAGGAGCATCGAAATACTGGTTCTTTAAATCATTTAAGCCTAATATCACTTTATCCATGTATGCTTTTGGACCATAAGAGCAAAGGATCTGAGCTTGTATACGCACTCCACTCCAGAGCATTTTATTCACAAAGGTCAATGGGATGATTTTTATTAAAGAAAGGGTGTGTGTCAGGTGCGTCATTAAATGGTTACCGGAATTAGTAATCAAATGAATCTTAAAATATTGCACTAGAGTAAAAGGATACCTGGCTGTAACTACAGGTGACGTGACCTTTGATATGTCATACTCTTGCCATGTTTAAGTTTTTTTCTATCAGAAGAACATGGAAATGAATCATGTGTACATAGTTTAATCACCTCTTTAAAATAAGCAAAAAAAAAAAAAACCTCTGTAAGGCAATCGTAAATTATTTAGAGTGTTTTTATTACTTCTTAATATTGCTTGTCACTAAAATAATGATGAGTCAAAATAATAATATAGTCAGGTAAAGAAGCATCAAATGTTGGAGGAAAGATAATAAATGCCTCTGTCTAGTCTTTCTAGTTGTATTCATCCATGATATAAACCTGAATATTGTCTTATCTCTTAGATATAACCAGTTATCAATTTTGACTGATATTTTTGTCTTAACCATATCCAAGCTCTTAACAAAGCCAATTTTTTTCTTCTGGATTTTCCTCTTATTTGCCTAAAAAAATTCTTTTCAATGTTTAAAGATTTAAATACTTGCTAATATATAACAAATATAGGAATCAAACCTAGTAATAGATTATTCTCTAAAATTTCTGCTTTCAGGGATAAGATAGAAAAAATGCACATATGTTGCTCCTAACATTTAGAAGAATTTAGAAGCAGCTGAAATGAAATGTAACCCCTACTTTGAGAAGACCTACAAAGAAGTTATAGACAGCAAATTAAAGCAACCATAAATAGAGTAAAACTGACTCACTAATACTTTCATTTGATTCTTTCTTCACCTTATATTGGTTTTAATCTTCAGTAATTTTAAAAAATCAAATACAACTTGGAACCATGTATTGAACTCCATTACTATTTCTAATAGGTTACTTATTCACCCATTAGATATATCATCATATAAAACAAAATCTATCACTATAAAGGCATTTATATACGTATACAATAGTCCACCAACCTATCTATAACTAATAAAAGGCTATCCAGATTAACAAGTGGCTAAATTATCAAAGCTACTCTTGCATTCCTTTTCTAGGAAGTAAACAGCAGCCATCTCACAAAGGTTGTAGACCCATAACCACTGAGAAAATAATCAACCATGAAAAGGAAAATTGGAATTTATAGACTTTGTTTCTATTCTAACTTGAAGAACAACTTCTGAAGGCCCGTTTATTTTGGAAATTAGAAAAAGCTAGTGTTTCAAGATAATAACATAACCTATACATAAATTCCAGGCCTTTCCCTTAAGATTACTATTGGTTGAACTAGTTACTAGAAAGTAATTCTCCTTTGACTAACAGTTTAAAAGAATTGCCCACGGTGTTTTGTTTGCAATTCTTAAATACAGAGAATAGAGTAAGCTTCAGGAAACTTCTAGACAAGCATTTGCTACTACTTCCCTTTCTTCTTTTGGTTTCCTGATTTTTTTTTTTTAAGATTTATTTATTTATTTATACAAGCACTGGGTACAGTCAGAAGTGCAGGAGGGTGGGAGACTTCACCAGAGCCAGAGCAGGGAAAAGAACAGGCAGGAGGACCGAGGTACACTGCTGAGGGGAGCAGCGGGCGGCAGGAGAGGTCTGCCATGTGGGACCCTCCTCCGTTGGCCAGGAAGCAGCCGGGGATCGAACCAGCGCTGCAGAGGCTGCGGGCAGCTTCGCAACCCAGCGCTCAACCGCTGCGCCACTGGGGAGGCCCTGGTTTCCTGATTTAACTGGCCAAATTCCTAGCCTCACTGATAAACCCTGCCAAACAAGACTTTTTTCTGCCATAGCTGAATTTACAACTTTTTAAAAATATTATAAATCTCTCATCTGTAAAATGAGTGTAACGTTAATATTCTAACTCATAATGATGTTGCGAAGATAAAGAATTCATGTATTTAGAACAATATCAGTAGATCTCTGTAAGTATTAACTGTAATTATAATTATTATTTTATTCTGTGAATCATTACATTTTGTTGGGTAGTGTGATCAGCTGCAACATCTACTATTGAAAAGTCAAACTGGAAATTAATTGTCTTAAACCATAAGGTATCATTTAAGAAGTTTGCTTCTAACTTCTAGCTTCTAACCAAAATGAGATATTATACATACTTCATTTTTAGAAAACCAATAATTAAAGTATCTTAAAATAGAAAGAGATTGCTGCAAACACAGTCAGATTAAGCGAAGCTGGCTCAGACCCAAGATGCCAGCTACTTACAAATTTATTTTTTAAGTATTAAGAAAGACTTACTGGACCAAAAAAATACTACTAATAAAAGCCATTCTGAATATGCATGTCATATGCAATTAAATCCAAAAATTTATCATTTGGCATTTACATAAATTAAGTTAAACCTCTGTGTCTTGCAACATCACACAAAAAATGGTGACAGTGATTTTCATTGAATTTGAAGAGAATTTTTGAATGGTCTCATTTAAATGTTAACATTTAGAGGGCTTCCTAATCGGCTAGAATAGAAGTGGGATGACAATCAGTTATATTCCTTTATTTACAGTAACATGGTAAATATTTCAGTAAGTTCACTTTATAAAGTAATGCTGTTTATCTCAATTATACCCATGGGATCTCCAAATGTTTATTGATTTTTCAAAGGGATTTTAATTACTTTTTCATAGATTTCATAGAAAATATCAAATTGTCTAAACAACATCCCAGAAATAAGAAAGTCTTAACTGTGTTCTAGCAAAACCTAAAAAACAAACCTTGATTTTATAAATAATATATTAGTCAGTCAAAAAGATATTGTTTGAGAATGAAAACAAGCTCCATAGCAGACTGTTTACTATTCTGATACCTTTTTTTTTTAAGATTTATTTTTTTATTTACTTATACAGGCACTGGGTACAGTCAGAAGCGCAGGAGGGTGAGAGAATTCACCAGAGCCAGAGCAGAGAGCAGAGCAGGCAGAAGGACCGAAGTACACTGCTGAGGGGAGCAGCGGGTGGCAGGAGAGGTCTGTGCGCCATGTGGGACCCTCCTCAGGTGGCCGGGGAGCAGCCGGGGATCGAACCGGCGCTGCAGAGGCTGTGGGCAGCTTCTCAACCCAGCACTCAACCGCTGCGCCAACGGGGAGGCCCTATTCTGATACATTTTTGTCGCTTCCAATGGAAGGATTTTACCTCGCCACCTGGCTGCAGGGCAAACTTGACCATATGTCTTGATTTGTTCAACAAAAGATAAAAGGAAGTGACATAAGCCATTGCTGAACTGAAACTTTAATAGTCACCAATTAGTTCTGTCATCTCTTTTCCTTTAGGGACAATGAATGGCATGTCCCAAAGAGGATGTTCCTTTTTCTGGGTCTCATAATAAAGGAACAAAGCTGAAGGTGACTGTGATTAATGAGTAACATGAAGAGAAATCAAGTTTACTGTAAGCAATTTGGATTTGGGGTATTACCTTAGCGTGAACCTGAATGAGGAAGACTTGGCAACCATGAGACTAATATAGATTGTGAATAGTACTTGAGAACTCTAAAAGACAGGTAGTCAACCTCCAGGGAAGTTGAAACTGAATACCATTCAGAGGACAAGTCTGAAAAGGCATATTCAGAATGGGCATTCAATGTCAGGGACAATTAAAACCAAAGTTCAGGTAGGGGATGTTTGGATGATATTTCAACATGCCATATGCATTCAGACACTTAATTAAGAAAAATTAGCAGTGGTATCCAGTGTGAGCGCTATATCAATCATAATATGTTGGTTTTGTGCTATGAAACTTTAAATTGGTTCAACACCAGATATGTCACATTTC